TGGTATTGTCTGTATTGCTTGAATAGTAATTACAGTCGTAATCCATAGAGTTTTCATTTACTAAATGTTCCAGCTCATTGGCCGGTTTAATAAAATTTTCTAATAAACCGGATTGTTCATTAATTTGGTCTTGGGTCAAGCTAAATTTGCGTTCCGACAGCTGACCCGGAGCCAATGTCAGCTCGTATTTCGGTCCAATTTTAGCCCCAAAATTAAAATTTGATTTGTTACTCAAATCACTCGTGGCAAATATATATAAGTACAGGGTTGATTTGTGTTCAAACCCGGCGGGATATTTGCTCATGATAAACTGTTTTATTATCAGATCTGGGCCTTCGGTAATGGTGATAGTGATCGGGAACGGGTCGGTGCGACTCAGTTTGTATTTGACATAAGTGTTTGTTTGTGGCACTTGATTAGCCGGTAGTAATGTTTTGCTTTTATGTCCAGAACTGATATAACATACAATATCCCGAAACATAACTCCAGTGATGGGTATGTTATGACCATTGGTTTCGTAGTATTTGCTGTAATGCACGGCACCCCTCATAATGGCTGTTCGATCATGGTTGACTTCAATTTTTAGGCAATAATTTTTCAGGACGTTTTTAAAATCAATGTGTCTTGTAATAGATTTATCGCCTAAAAATAAAAATTTTAATTATTAGATTGTTATTTTATACAATAATATAGCTATAGCAATAATTTATCTGATTATGTAAAAAATTAACTGAGTAAAGATATATCTTAAAGTAAAGATAACTTATTAGTTATTGTGGTTTGGAAAGTTAATTACATATTTAATTATCGTTAAATTGGTTTAATTAACAAAATATAAATAATACTATTCTTAATAATAAATAAATTATATTTATACTTATATATTTAGTATATTTATAACCAACGATGTAACAATTGAAAATTTTGCATGGGAAATATTTAAACAATTGTTGCAACGAATCGGTAAATTTATTATTAACCGCATTATAATTGGTATCAATTCGGGACCAGTCAATGACCACACGTATGTATGCGTTGTATTTAACACTTATGCCGTGATATTCAACGAGTGCTAACTCATAGCCATTATCAGTGATTAAAATAATCAAAACGTGTGGGAACGCTATATTTCGTTTGTTTTTGTCATGATTAAAACCAAAATCAACAGCAACCGAGTTTATTTCAGTGATAAACTGAACATGGTCAACACCCGCTATTAAGGCCGCGTCCCTGAATGCGTTCAATTGCCTTATGGTGTAATGTGTGGGCACAATAAACAACATGTTTTTCATATAATTTTCGTATATGATTTGCGTAACAATCTTTGTGTCCAACACTTGTAAAGCAAATAACGACTCAATATTCAAGTCAATAGGGATTTCATTGTTTAATACGAGCCGTACTTTTGGGTGCCGTTTGTCTACAAATTCAAAAGGATATCGATTGAGCTCATCGTCCGTCACATCCCTTCCCATAATGTGTTTGATGTCAAACGTGTGTCCATTCAGGTGTTGCTCGGCTTCCCTCCCGTATAGCATACTCTGGCCGTTGAAAACAACGCAATTTGAGTCCCGGTGCCCATCAGTATTATGCAAATTACAAATCGTATCATCATGTTTATTAAAGTAATAAACACCAATTGGTTTGCTCTCAAAGTCCATAATAAATGTTTGGGATTTGTTTTGCTTTCGATCATTAATTTCCAAGAATTTATCTCTCGATTGATTGATATTCAGCGCAATATTATACCAATTTTTATCACATATTTCTCGTAGATATGTGTCGGCAAACTGTGTCCGATAGGCCATCACTTGCTGTTCGTGATCTAACCATAATTGTTGTAACACCTGTTGATATTCATGGTCAAATTGATTCCTGTCGATAAAATTACTTATGGATTGTTTAGCCGATATTCTTTTACAATACTTTTCATGGCACTGTAAAAGGATCTTGTTCATTTCAGTTTGTATATACTGGTGATTCTCTACATTTTCATTCAACTTTTCTTGGTATTTGGTGCCGATATAATCTTTATAAATATCTCGACACGCGTTGAATACATTAGATTTGCATTGTTTTAGCACAAGTGTGTTCATAACGTATTTCCAAACATTACTGCAAACGGTATTGTATTTTTCTTGAAATGTTTCGTTAGAATATGTCCCACTTTTTAATAATACAGTCATCCCTTTGTCGTACATTTGTTTATACATTTGCAAACATTTTTCAACTAAGTCTTTATTTTTAGTATTGATTTGTGATATTTGTTTCGCGTAATTATTTATCGCACTTTCGGTCAATTCATTGTATTGTTTGCATAAATAGTAATCATTTTTAAACAACTCTTTAAACTCTTTATCCGTCAGTAAAAAGCATTTCAATTGTGTCTCGTCTATGAAATACTCGTCGGAATTGCAGTGTTGTTGACATTTGTTCACAAACTCGTTATACTTTGTGTCAAAGTTAGTGTAAATCACTTTCTGTTCGTCAATAAATTTGGTCAATGAGTTAAAATAAAATGCTTGCAATTTTTTTAGCTCTCCAGATCTTCGGTTAAATTTAGCTTTTATTCTATTCGAGATCTCAATAAATATTGGATCAAAACTTTTGCTTTTAATATTAAACTCAAACCCTTTGTTTGAATTGAGTCTGTTTTGCATTAATTTCGTAAAACTTTGGGCCAATTCTCCCAACAATTGATCGCCAATTGTTGTCATTTCATTGCATTTATAATCAAATAACACTTTTTCCTCATTCAATGCGGTGTCGAGTGATTGCGGAAACTCTTGGTGAATATCATCATGGTCATTTGACTTCAAATTCATAGTAATTACTTGATTATACATGATAATCTGACTTTCCATAAGACATAATAATTGATGAGTATTTGAAAATGTAATGCCTCGCAAAGCATTATTAACATCTAGAACATCTAACTGTATGAATGTTTTCATTTGCTCCACATATTGAGGGCAAAGTTCTTGTATTTTCCAATTACTGTCTTTGACAGCATGTGTGGGACAGTCGACTAAATACGTGCCCTTTTTGTTAAACTCTCGGCCAAGTGTTTGATAATTTTCATATCCGGTTGTAATTAATTCAATATTGTTCTCCATGTCCTCAAAATCATTGCATTCCCATTGGCTTAACGTATTGAGAAATTGAGAGTACGAATTGACCTGGATCACGTATCTATCCCCGCTATTATCTGGATGTTTCTGTAATCAATGTTGTTTATTAAAATTTGCATTTTAATAAAAAAAATATTATGCACTTACGTTAAGACCCGGTTTGTTAATCACAACAATTGTCGATATGTTTGATATGAGCCGTATTGTAGAAATTAGTGTAGGGTTTGTAGTTAAATCAGTAAATGTATATGGGTAGTTTTGTAGATTAAGCAACATTACGGCTACTCGTGTATTACCTCGATTAATAATGTGCGGTTCGGACCACATTTCAATACCCGGGCCCTTTGATATCTTTTGGCCAGTTTTATCATCATTAATCTCGGTATTACTAAACCCATGATGTGGGCTCAGCATGACATCATGCGGCCATTTATCAAGATCATTGTTATTACGCTCGATGTAATTTAAAATGAAATTAGCTGTGAAAGTGTTTCCCTCGAAATGCGGTCCAATCACTGATACGATCGCTATTTTATCCCATTCTTTGTCATCGAGTTTTTGAAATACACTTTCGATTAAATGTTTATTAAAATGAAATCTATTTTCAATCACTTCAACCACTCGTATGTTTGCCATTGTTTTCAATTATGTTTGCACACAAAACATCAATCCACTTCTTGGAATATAAATTAATTAAAAAATTAATTAAATATTGACTATACATTTAACATGATAAATTAAATATTTATATTTGTTTAGCATATAAATATTTATTAGTTTAGGATTAATATGTACAGTACATTATATAAAATTTACATCGTAAGTATTTTTAAAAACTAAAGTAAGTTTTGAGACAATTAAATGCCTATTACAAGTCTATTCCTTAAAGATTATTTATCATTCAAAACAATCTCGAATTTATATGTATTTCATGGACTTTGTTATTAAAATAATCTAATGAAATGCATTAATATTTTTGACATTAGAAAATATTATTTTTAAAAACATATTAAATTAACATTAGACTTCATTTATTATGTAAACATTTGCTTATAATTTTTTAAAATCTATTTATAATAAATATAAATGTACTCAATTAAATATCTGCATTATATTGCATTTCAAATTTGCATAGCTTACTTACTAACAATTTGCATTTATGTTATTTTAATGTAATTATTTAATTTGCCATTTAATATAAATATACAAGTTAATTCACTTACCCGATAAGTCTATGATTTCTTAAAACATTGTAATGACAATTAACTCAATTATTTTAATTGTATACTTGTACAATTATATACTTAATTTTTTAATTTATTTCACAAGTATGTTTTGAATAATGCATAAAATATTTATAAACATTTTATTCACTCTCTGTTTATAATTTATAGTAAGAATACAAGTGTTAATTATCACTAACTAATTTATTAAGTAATAATTATTACGTACGTAAACATTTAATTCAGATATAATCATAGTACACTCCATCTACAGTTTGAGTATTCTACTATATTGCCATTAATAAATTAAATTAACTTTTAATGATTGATTTATTTTGTTTTATAAAATAAGTTTGATATTTAGTATTTATATTATTTTGTGTTCAAATAAACTTTTGTCTATATATTTAATTTTTTAGTTTTATTAAATAATTTTTTAAAATATTTTAATATTGTATTTAACTTTTAAGAGTTAAAATATACCCAAATATATTTATATATAAACTTAATAATTAACATAACAAACAATTTTTAAAAAAGTTTAATCTTAAATTAATTGGTATTTAATTAAAATCTGCAAAAATTGAGCATAAGTTTTTTATTACTTTATATGAACGACTAGGCTTAATTACTCTTATTGCCATTAAGCTTGTTTTATAAGCCTAACTTGCTCATTTATCTCATCCAGCGTGTGTTGATAGCCACCTATCTCTTCGGCAGACGTCGGCCGTACAGATAAAATGAACAACTTAAAAGGGCTCAACTTATTGACCAGATCTGCCTTTTCGGGCACCTGTAAGCCGTGGACCGCCCGCTTAGTCCGTATATAATTAGCCGACAGTTTGTTTTTAAGGGCTTTCATTTCGTTGGAAAGCATAAGCGTTTTTAAAAGCGGTTTTGCTTGCGCTTGAGACCGGGATGGATCGGGTGCTGCCGCCAAACTCGCCGGTGCACTCCTATTATAACCAAACTGATTGTTAAGCAATAAATGATTAAAATGGTCGTCGGGGACTGGTTGGGCCGGCATAGAGTCGGCCTTTACTTGAAAACTACTAGCTACAAGTTGACGCCTAAACGCATCAATAGATATCCCTGTTTAAATAGTATGTTTATTAATTATTAATCAGGTTGTTAATATAAACTTTAATATACCTCGGTATGTAGTATTGCTACCATTATTAATAGCCAGGACGCTAACGTTATACCAGCCGGCGCCGCTATAGTCGGTAAAGTAGGCGTAATAATATCCCCTGTCATGAAACATGTTTAACGGGAAATCAGTCTGCGTACCGTCGGGTCTGTCCACTGTTGCGGTCACTATAGCGCTCACAATCGGGTCATTGCCTTTACACAGCCGACAGACCATTATTGGTGGGTAAATGCCCTCTTGTTCTCTGAGAAATACTTGCAATTCAATGGCTTGAGCTCTGGTAGGATTGCTCTCGACAATCAAATGCGCTCTAACAGCCGTAGGCACTTGTGGGGTTAGTTTTATTGTCCATAGACCCGATTCAATCAATTCCAGGTATAATATGCACTCTTTCAAATCCAACTGCTTGGCTATTTGTCCGCCACCTGTAGTGCTATAGACAGCACCCGACGGGCCGGTGATGTTTACGTCGATATTTTTTATGGCTTCGGAGCGAATCTGTATTTTAGTGTTGCGTCCGATGTCGGCCTCAATGGGCACTCGAGTCTCATATGTATTACCGCTTATGACTACAACTTCATTGACAACAGTATGAGTGACCACTTCTGCCATCTCTTTACTGGTGATAACCTCTTTCATCGCGGTCTCTATTACTCGGGACATCATTTCACGGCTTTCGGGGTCCGTACGACTCAGATAATAGACGAGACCCCCGGTGTCGTCCGACAGCTTCTTTAAGTTGTTGTCAGCGCTCACACCGATTGCCAAACAATAAACTTTTATCTTAATTAGTAATAATAATATATAAGTTGTAGATTTAATTTAAATCACACAAAATAAATTATATTTTACAAAACGATTGTTAATGAAAGGGTAATTAAGTTAAATTAAATCGCGTAAGTCAAAACAATTTTGTAGACAGTGTATAAGTTTATATTACATCGAATTAAGTAGATGCAATCATATTTTTATATAGGTGATATGAACTAAAAGAAATGAGACAGAATTAAGTGCAGTAATGTATTTCTTATGAGAGACTCAGAGTTGTGATAACTTAAAAAGTTCTTATCCAATTTTAACAAACTATATACCAAATTGTTTGGAATAAAATATGACTTGAAATGTATATCAGGAATTTTGTTGTAAACAGAGTGAATACGAGTAATGTGCTATAAAGTGATCAAATTTACATAATTTCAATTGCTTGCAATTTAA